GCTAACTCTTCTGGCTGGAGAATTCTGGGAGTTGAAGTCCACAAGTCTTAAAGTTGCCAAGTTTGGGAACCACTGGCCTAGTCCTAAGGAGTGACTGCTGGCTGGAGAATTCTGGGAGTTGAAGTCCACAAGTCTTAAAGTTGCCAAGTTTGGGAACCACTGGCCTATTCTAATCAGTTATTGTATTCCTGTTGCTTATCCTAAACAGGAGAAGGTGACCTAGTATTCTCTAGATGTTTAATTTTGATTGCCATCAGCACCGGGCCAGAGACAATGGCAAGGGTTGTCAGAAGTTGTGACATCTAGAAAGCATTAGTTCATTGAATTTCAGAGGCAGTCCATTAAATTTATGGCTATCCCTTCCAGCAAATACTATTTTTGAGATGGAGACAATCTGACGCTAAGGGACAATACTAATAAAGCTTTATCCATGAATATTGTAATATATTGCCAGTATTTTTACACCAATAGATAACTCTGAAGATACAGCAGCCATCAACCCAGAGGATTCGGTTATGCCTGACACAGGAACAGTTGCAGGAGATGTGGTCCAGCTCCTGGTGAAACGCCAGGCACCCACTGGATGCCTCCTCTATCGTTATGGAACCTTTGCCACTAATCTGGACATCATCCGTAAGTGTAGGGAATGATGGGTAAAAGGAACCATTAAGCACCCACACCAATTGGGCATCATTAGACAAGGAGGATGGATCTAAACCACACGCAGTGCCATCTAGCCTTAGAAGGTGACAGAATCATGTGATCACTGTAAGGCAGCCTACCCCAATCCAATCGTTGCCACATATTAAGTTCAAAGCTAGCAGAGAATTGTGGTCAGAGCACATTTAGAAAGTAAGAATAATATGACATGTCTGGGGATTAAAAGTTACACAAAGTGTTCCATGAAAGTTAAAATGTCCATTCCACACTCTGTTTTCCAAATCTAAAAGCAGGTCCATTTTGTGCCATCTTTGGTGCTTTCCGAGCTTGGTTGTTTGCCTGTGCACTGCTGGTGTTACTTTGCTAAGTAATAAAACATCTGCAAGCAAATAATCAAGTTCAGAGAGTATCAAGGACTCCACTCAGTTCAATCCTGAGTTCAACTCTTCTATTGGAACCATGTCCTTGTTACTTGAAAAATCAAACATTTCTTCCAATTAACTTTGATTTGTAAAGGCCAGGTTTAAAGGGCCTCCATGCACAGGAACAATTCACAGGGTGAAGGGGGGGATATAGGACCTCTATGCTACATAAACATTTCTGCGTTCTCTTTTATTGCAGAGGGCATAGAGAGTGTGGAAATTGTGCAGGTAGTACCACTGATGCCTGCTGTTGCTGAGAACGCAGTAGATCTCACTGTGACCTGCCAGGGAAGGTAGGTTTCATAGCTGAAAATAATGACGCTGATAGATTCCTACTTTCTTAAAGTGGTGGTTGAAGTATGTGGGAAGAAAGAAAGGATATTGGACATCGAGCATCAGGAGCTGTGAAATAAGCCCCTCTCAGAATGGTGGGTGGTGGGAAAGATTTTTGAATAGCAATCTTTGAATAGCATAGCAGTCATGTGGAAATCTTGCCAAAGGAGTGTTCCATATGTATAATTGTGGGAAGGGAAGTGGCCTTTTTTGATGGTTGGACTAATCAATAGCCTTGTTTCACTTGTAGCCTCCCCCAAGAAGTCTGCACCACCGTTTCAGATCCTGATTGTGTAATAATCCAGGAGAGTGTGTGCAATCCTGTTCAGCCAAGCCCAGACTGCCAGCTTGTTTTGCGCCAGGCCTTCAACCAATCTGGCCTCTACTGTGTCAACATCTCACTGGCTGATGCCAACACCTTGGCTGTTGCCAGCACCCAAGTCAGCGTTCAGAGTAAGCCATATTATTCTATGGTGACCTAAGTCTTCTGTCGGACAATGTTCCTTCTGTTTCTCTTTATGTTATTGGCAGTTTTATTGCACTCCCTCCTTCTAGTATGCTGACAAGCAGAGGCAAAACATAATGGTTGGGTTTACATATCATTCTAAGCCCGTGATGTCAAACCTATGGCACGCGGGCCACAGATGGCACGCAGAGCCCTCTCTGTGGGCATGTGAGTCACCCCCCAGCTCAGCTCCACCCCACATGTGTGCGTCCTTCCACCGGCCAGCTGATTTTTGAGCATCTGCCGCACATGAAGGAGACATGCACGCATGCGTGGGGGTTGCACACACATGTGCAGGGGGTGTGGTGCCGCCCCACGGCCTGTTTTTGACTCCAGGAGATTTCGGGGAGGCCTACTAGGCCTAAAACAGGGCATGTGAGGGTCATGTGCATGCACGAGGGGAGCACAAGGGTTGTACACACATGCACGGGGAGGGGCGCATTGCATTATAGGTGTGGGCACGTGTGCATGATTTCGGCACACAAGGAGAAAAGGATTAGCCATCATTGTTCTAAGCCATAGTTAACAACTACAGTGGCTAAATTGACATACATCTAAGCTAAAAACAAATAAATTGTGTTATGGTTTAACATGTTAACCAATTTCTTCCTGGTTTTTTGCTCTTTGTGAAGAAGCATGATAAAGTTGAGGTAGAGTTGTTCACAATAAAGCTTGTTTATTTTTCCATTAGAAATATAGGCCTCTTCTAAAGGAATGGTTTGTCCCATATTTCTAAAAGAACAGCATATAATCCTTATTAAAAGGACCACTAAATATCAATTCCCCTGTTTCTTATAGCAGAAAGGAATCAAGCTTCAGCTCAAATTACATTTGTAGTTGGAGTCTTGCTGGTTATTGCTGCCATGGGAGCTGCCATCTATACGTATCGGTGAGTCTACTCCCATTCATATTTGGGTTGTTCATCATTAGCCAGGAATGAATGTACTGTGTATATATCATATACTAACTTAGGAACTATAGTAGCTACTAACATCTGACTGAAGATAGGACAGTCTGACATTTCCCAACCAAGCACAAGAGCTGCAGGTTAAATCCTGGCCTAATGTTCATATTCTGCTTTGGCTAGGAGATGATGCAAGGGGATCTGTGCTTTTGCTGCTCACCCACAAAAATCAAGTCCTTATGGCATCTGGGATGGATCTGAAATAGCAAGGTGATTAATCTTTGGAGCATGTTAAGTTACTGCATCAGAACAGAGAAAAGAGTATCTGGCTGGACGTTGACCGATAGTGACTCCAAGATTGCAAGCAAAGGTTTGCCCTGTAGTTAACAATCCTTGAAGTAGGCATGCCACGGATGCGTTCTGCTCTAAGTACAGACTCCCTTCCCTCTGTTAAATTCTCCATTGTGTTCTTTGACATTTAGGGGAGACAACAGCAGAGATGGAGCAGCTTTACTAGGGCAAAATCAGAGTAACAAGGGCAATTTGCCTAAAGACATAGCAAAGGGGTTAATTTGCTCTGTGAAGCTTCTACACAACAAATATTCCTCCCCAGAATTTCATTAATCGCTCTCGTTGGCTGTCTTTGTTTTTTTTCAGGGCTTCTTACAGTATCTTGCAATTTGTTCCTTAGGCCTTCTGGGTACGATTTCAACTATAAACTAACCACTCTGAATGGCCAGGTCACTCTTGTCATATTGTTTATGGCAGGCATTTTGCAGAGTCTACCTGGTGGAGGTCTTTATCCTTCATAGGGCCGTTGAACAGCAGAAGACTAAATCTTTACTGGTTGAGCTCTTCTCTTTTGCTAGACAAAGAATGTTAAGAGTTCTTATTCAATAGAGCAAGCTGAGTAAGGAACATGGAGATGCTTTGGGTGCTCTCAAACATCAATGTGCTCAAGATTGTTACTAATATCTTCCTTGGTTGCAGGCATTTGAGACACATCCCTCTATGGGCCATGAGGTCTGCTGGAACTTCTCCAAGGAACTGGTTTCCTGACCGCACAGCTGTACGCCTCTTCTTTGGCCAGGCGTTTGGCCAGAGGGCCAGTGGGGAGAGCAGCCCCTTGCTCAGTGGCAACGTCATCTAAATGGAAGTCAACAAGTTTGCAACTTGTTTGCAACAAGTTTTGCAAACTGAAAACTGAACGCGTTGAGCCCTTACTCAGAAAGGAAATAATGCCCCCTATATTTCCCTTAAGTTGATGCTCTTCTGATGCCAGCTGAGTAAACTCTCAGCCACTTTGAGGTGCCATCTCAGTGCCTGCCTGGGTGGGGAGATACAGACAGCACCGAAGGAAGTGTAATCGTTTTTAGAGCACCGCAATTGCATTCAGTCCGTGCCATGCTGGTCCTAGGGAGTCAAGACAGCTGTTCGTTTGGCTTTCTGACATACCTCATTGGGTAAAGGAAAAAATCAGCATTGTAGTTTTGGGATTGTTAGTTTCTAAATTAACGTCCTACAACTGGCCAGGTCTTCTAACAAATGATAAGAGAGTTAACCCTGTTCACCAGTTACTGGCCATGTTCTTAAACAACCCCTCAAAAATGGGGCTGCGTTAAAAGTCTGACTCCATTTTATTTTGTATGCCCCATAACTAGATGGGGTGTGTGTGAATCCTGGCAGGAAAGATATGAGAGGGAATAATATCATCTCTATCTTGTCTGCAGCGGCATGATCACCAATCAGCCACTGCAGACTTTTATTTTTTTCCAAAAAGAAAAAAAAAAGAAAAAAAGAAAAAGGAACCAGCAGCACAAAGTGACAGAACTCAAGATGAAATGGTTCACATCTGCTTCTAAGACATCCTTAGTAGCATATTGCTGTTATGCATAAGCATTTCCCAGGAAAGAGGCACATTAAGTTTAACCCAAGTCATGCAAACCCAGAGAGAACCAACAAGATGCAGGCTGGTATCATTTAAGCCAATGGAGCATCTCTGTATTTTTTTTTTATTTTGTCTTTCCATCTTTTCCTTAAAAAAACACAGTATTTCCTTTATACACCATGAACAAATATATCAAGAGTTTGATGGACTACTTCTCAGTGTGATGTTTGTCTATGCAAAGGGAGCCACTTAGGTGGGGAAGAAGAGCAGTTGTATTGAGACATCCTGTTTGCTAGCCGAAGGATAGTCTAGATGGAATCTGGTTGTAGAAACTGGTCAGTACCAACAGGCCACCTCATAAGGGAATGGATTTCCAGTTGCCTCGTTGATATTGCAAGATAACAGCTCCAACTGGATAGTGGTGGCTCCAGGGGACAGAAAGAGGAGGAGAAACAAGACACACACTCTTGGGCAATTCTGGAGGTGGAAATGGGAATGAGGGCGGCTGCATTTCACGAAACAAATTCTACAAAACTTCCTTCAAAAAAAAGGTGCTAGTACCGAGAACAGGAGAAACAACAGGCTGATATAAAGCGAGCATTACTATCTGCAACCACTTTATATTCTTCAGAAAATAAACTTCAGAGATTCCTTTGAAATTGGATGCTTGGGAAGAGAGTAGTATGAGGCAAGTCAGAGTGGACAAAGGAATCCACAATTTATATGAAAAATAATTCCCAAGTCAGGGCATGGTCTAAGGCCTAAGGCAGTGATGGCAAAACGATGACACATGTATCAAAGGTGACATGCCATGTTTTGGGTGACACTCCAGGTTCATCAACACCCAACAACTATTCTCTAAAGTAGGCCCCATTCTCACAGAGTTTTCTGGGGAACTCTGGGCCATGTGGCACGCACCGTTCCTCAAGGTTTGCACCCATGTTGAGGAATGGCACATGCTGGCCTTTTTGAATGGCAGTGGTGCTGCTACTCAGGCTGAAAGTAAAGGCCTAGGTGGCCAGGCCTCTACTACATACTCGTCCTAAGACGCTACTACCGGTAAGTGTCTCTGCTCAGGGTGACCTGGGGAGGAAGGATAGGGAGGGAGGGAGGGGGAGGGAGGGGGAGGAGGGAGGGAGAGAGAGAGAGAGAGAGAGTGAGTCAAGTCAAGTTAAGCTTTTTCCAATTTTTGAACAAGCCGAGCATGAAAGGCTTGCTATCACTGGCCTCGGTTTTCTTGGACAGCAGGAGAGGCAGGGTTTGCTGCGGTCCTAAATTTCTGGAAAAGTTGTGGGAAGAGCGAGGCATCTGTTAGAATGAAAGTCCTTTAAGCATACAACCACTTCCACTCCAAAACAGAATAGTAATTTGACACAGAGTAATTCAATACGTGAAGGCAAACTGTTATATAGGGATGGATTTTCCTATAAATTCTGAAATTGGGGGAAGGGGCGTTGCAATTAAAATGATATGCGTGGTTTGGTAATCTAAGAGTGGTTTACTAACACTGTATAATCTAAAGCTGGCCTTGCCTTTTCAAAGTACAGATGGACATCTGTGTGAGCAACTATAAGCCACGTGGGAACAATAACCACCAAAAGCAGATTAGCCACGTTGCTGTAGTAATATGAAGACTTTCTGCATGGCCCTATAACAAAACCTTTGGGAAGAACAAAAACTGACATGGCTATGCAACAAGGCTACTCATCCTGATGAGGGTTTTCTGCTTCATTACATTTGTGTCATTGTCAGCAAAAGAAACTTGGGGTTTATCAAGTTTACTTATTTGTACTTGAGGGTGAGATAAGTGCAAAGGCAAGAAATCTTGTTTCAATTGATAAAAAGTTCTGATTGGGAAGATTTTGGAATGATCAGGGATGATTTGTCCCATCCCAGCCTATTTTATTGTAAGGTGGTTTTAGTTCCTTCCTTTTTGTTCTTGAAAACCCCCAAAGCAGTTTGAAAACCCCAGGAATGAGTGGGGGGGGGGGAATTACAGCTCTACTTTAAGATGCCAAAAATCATGTGATATCAGAAAAGTAGACACACTGCATGATGTTATAGGTCAGTAAAATATATTACTTTCTTATGTCCTTATCTCATGCTGCATTACAGCATTCATTTGGCTGTCTGCAAAAATCCCACATGTTAATATGAAGTGTTGAAAAATCAGCCAAGCCCCTTCCCCCTGGAAAACCCCTGCTTGTTGTTGTTACAGGGAGGGTGAGGCCAGTATATCCACAAACTGACCAACAACTCAACCATAACACACACACACACCCGCCCGAGAACAGAGCATCTAAAAAAATACAGCACTTTTTACAGCCATGGTAGAAATAATTCACCATAGCAACATTTGCTGAAAATGTTATTATTTGAATTGCTGGGTATGGAACTAATTCTTCAGCAGTGTAAACTATGTTGAAGGCTGCCCAAGTTGGCCCACAATGCCCATTTTTGGTATACAAATTATTCCATTTGCTAATTAACCTTTCCTTCATCAGGCATCCTTGACCTGTGATCATTGGTCAAGCTGGTTCTAGGATGTGAAAGCAGTAGACCAACCCATTCAGATGGCTCAAGGCTCATGAGGATTTCTAATCACACTTGTTATTTAATAATAAATAATAATAAAATATTAAATTCAATAGTTTGCGATTTTGTGAGGGTCCAAGTCCCAACTGGATCAAATTTTTTATAAAACTGTATTACTGTGCAGTACTAGGCTGTATTAACAGAGGGATAGAATCAAGATCACGTAAAGTGTTAATATCACTTTATAATGCCTTGGTAAAGCCACACTTGGAATACTGCATTCAGTTTTGGTTGCCACAATGTAGAAAAGATGTGGAGACTCTAGAAAGAGTGCAGAGAAGAGCAACAAAGATGATTAGGGGACTGGAGACTAAAACATATGAAGAACAGTTGCTGGAATTGGGTATGTCTAGTTCAATGAAAAGAAGGAGTAGTAGGGGGAGACATGATAGCAGTCTTGTAATATCTCAGGGCCTGCCACAAAGAAGAGGGTGTCAGCCTATTCTCCAAAGCACCTGAAGGCAGGACAAAAAGCAATGGATGGAAACTAATCAAGGAGAGGAGCAACCTAGAACTGAGGAGAAATTTCCTGACAGTTAGAACAATTAATCAGTGGAATGACTTCCCTCAGAGGTTTTGGGTGCTTCAAGGCTGTATATGTTAAAGAAGAGATTAGACAACCATTTGCCTGAAGTGGTGTAGGATTTCCTGCCTGAGCAGGGATTGGATTAGAAGACCTCCAAGGTCCCTTCCAACTCTGTTATTCTGTTACTTTCACCAAGACGTAATAAAGGTTGTGAAAGACTAAATGCAGAACATTGAATGGAGACCAGGCGGCTGTCACCAACTGATTTGTTCCTGCTACAGTGTTGGGAGTCATTTAGATCTCTTGTTCTCCCTCAAGTACTTCCCATGCCGTACTCTTCTATAATTTGAATAGAGGATAGAGGATACAAGTGCTCAGATTCATTCCTTATTTCATAACAACCCAGAAGCATCATTAAATCCAATAAAATCCTATAAATTCTCTGTAAATGCTAACTCTTTCAAGTAGCCTTGTCTTGATCAGCAGGCCATAAAATAGTCTCCATCTGATGTATTTTATTTTCCAATGTTTTTGTTTCCATGTTCCCTTCATTTTCCCACTTCATGCTGCTACGTTGAGAGCTGTGTTCAATGTTGTTTTTAACACACATTGAAATAACATATCGAGTTTCCTCATTATTGGTAATGAACAGTGCCTACATTGTGCTTTTTCTCTGGAAGCCCCTGACCATCTGCCTCTTATTTCCATTTTAATCTCAGAACTCTCTGTGTAGCACCTGACAGAATGGGATGTCAACCGGCTCTCCGCAGTTGCATTCTGATATTCTAACCGGGTTAGGGCTGTGCAGGGCTTCTGATTCAAGTGAGAAGAGGCACCTGGGAACATGCAATAGCACAAACACGGGGTTTGTTTGCTAGCTCATGAAAACAGGAAAAGTGGTTTCCAGAATCTTGGAAACCATAGATATTGGCATATTGTACCTCTGTGACACGGTGGCTCAGTGGCTAAGACATTGAGCTTGTCGATCAGAAGGTCAGCATTTCGGTGGTTCGAATCCCTAGCATAATGTAATGGAATGAGCTCCCATTACTTGTCCCAGCTTCTGCCAACCTAGCAGTTCGAAAGCATGTAAAAATGCAAGTAGAATAAATAGGGACCCCCTTTGGTGGGAAGGTAATAA